TTTGATATTAATCACAAATAATTTCTCCCCACAATTCGAAGCGAAAATTTTGATCCAGACTTAAATGGAGAAGCCATAACATTGGAACTCGACCTTGCAGAAGAAAGAAGAGAAAGAGCACTGGTTCACATTGCTTCATACCAATGAGAATTAATTAGAAAATACAACAAAAAGGTGCATCCAAGACAATTCAAGATCGGCGATTGGGTACTGCGCAAGGTAATGGGAAACACCTTGGTACCAGGAGATGGCAAGTTAGGGCCAAACTGGGAAGGTCCTTACAAAGTGGTTGGGTTAGCAGGCAAAGGGGCATACCACCTAGAAGACAAGGACGGCAAAGCAATCCCTAGGCCATGGAACACGGCCAATCTCAAGTTATTTTATTTTTAGCTTTTTTTCTTTCAAACATATGTAATTTCTTTTTCGTCAATAAAACAATCAATTCTTTTCAGCATACGTTGTTCTCTGTAAAAGCTGGCTTTAGTGAAGTTAGGAATATTGCAAACCTTTTATTCTAAGTTAGCTGGAAAAACTAACTTAGAGGTTGGCTGGAATAAACCAACACCCTTCCTAAGCCCAGGATAAGGATCCAGGCTACAGGACGTTTGGTCGGAATAACCAAACATTGTTCTAAGTTAGCTGGAAAAAACTAACTTAGAGGTTGGCTGGATTAAACCAACTCTTGGTACTCTTCAGCTAAAGTATGGGTATGGCTGAAGAATGGCTGGCTGGATTAAAACCAACTCTTTGTACTTTTCAGCTGAAGTAATTATGTCAGCTAAGGAGTGGTTGGCTGGAATAAACCAACTCCTGTTACTCTTCAGCCGAAGTAAGGGTATGGCTGAAGAGTGGTTGACTGGATTAAACCAACTCTTTGTACTCTTCAGCCGAAGTAAGGGTATGGCCGAAGAGTGGTTGGCTGGATTAAACCAAATCTGAGTACTCCTCAGCCGAAGTAATTATGTCGGCTAAAGGAGTGGTTGGTTGGTAAGCATAAGTGAGTTCGAACAAGCAAAAACTGAGATAAATGTTGGACATGAAAAGATCAAATGGAAGCATACAAATCAAAACCGGAATAAGAGTTCAAGCAAAATTTTCATTCATTGAAAAGCAATTACAAAGGGGCTTAGCCCGGTTACAAAGACAAAAGGTAACAAAAAAGAGAAAGTACAAAATCAAGAGAAAAGGTCTTTAATTTCGGCATCAAACCTGCATCGGCATCAACACGATGACCGGTTTCAGATGGGAGCTCGCTCACGATCGCAAGGGTGGTTTCGGTCGGAACCACGGTTTCCCCAAGAAGTTCAATAGTCAGGTCTTCCACCATGGGCTCCAACCGAACCGTATGATCCACATTGACAACCGGAGTATCCTCAGAGGCAGAGTCTTCATCAGAGTCTGAGCCTTCAAGAAACTGCTGTTGCATGGCATTAGCATACTCCACAAGGGAGTTCGGTATGAAGTAGGCTGGAGGGTTGAAAACCTCGGTCTGTGGATCATGACCGAGCTTCTCAACGGCTGCCCTCCAGCCGCACTTAAAAAACAGTTCCTTGGCGGCTTCACACTGCTTGACATATACATCCTCTGCCTTCTTGAAGCCTTTCTTTTCGGCTCCTTTTGCGTTCTCTTTCAGCTGGTTTATCTCGGAATCTTTCTTCTTTTCAAGCTTCACCAGCTCGCGCAGGTACTTGTCCTTTAGAGCAATGGCAGCCTTCTGCTTTTCGGCTTCAGCCGAACTAACCAGTCCGGTCAGTCTGCCGTTCTCAGCTTGTAGCTCGGCCATTTGTT